GTCCCCCCACATCATGATTGTCCCCGTGTCCCCCAGGGTCATGATTGTCCCCATGTCCCCCACGTCACGATTGTCCCCACGTCCCCCACATCATGATTGTCCCCATGTTCTCAAGGATCATTATTGTCCCCAGGTCCCCTCCGGGGTCATGATTGTCCCCGTGTCCCCCCACATCATGATTGTCCTCACATCCCCCCCATGTCACAATTGTCCCCACGTCCCCCCACATCATGATTGTCCCCACATCCACCCCATGTCACAATTGTCCCCATGTCCCCTCCACGTCACAGTTGTCCCCATGTCCCCCCATGTCATGATTGTCCCCATGTCACAATTGTCCCCGTGTCCTCCAGGGTCACGATTGTCCCCACGTCCCCCACATCACGATTGTCCCCGTGTCACAATTCTCCCCATGTCCCCCGGGATCATGATTGTCCCCGTGTCCCCCCCACGTCATGATTGTCCCCGTGTCCCCCCACATCATGATTGTCCTTCAGGGTCACAATTGTCCCCGTGTCCCCTAGGGCCATGATTGTCCCCACGTCCCCCACATCCCGATTGTCCCCATGTCCTCCAGGGTCATGATTGTCCCCACATCCCCATGTTACAATTGTCTCCGTGTCCCCCCCACATCATGATTGTCCCCGTGTCCCTCACGTCACGGTTGTCCCCACGTCTCCCCATGTCACGATTGTCTCCGTGTCCCCCCCAAGTCAGGATTGTCCCCGTGTCCCCACACCCCTGCATCCCACCACACCACGGATGTCCCTGCATCTCCCCACATCCCGGCCATCTATATCCCTGTCCCCGTGTCCTTGTGCCACCTCCCCACGTCACATTGTCCCCATGTCCTCCCTTCCCCCCCACCAGCAACCTGGAGGGGTTCCTGGAGGAGTTCGCCGACATCTCCAAGGAGGACCAGATCAAGAAGCTCCACGACCTGCTGGGTCCCCACATGTTGCGGCGCCTCAAGGCCGATGTCTTCAAGAACATGCCGGCCAAGACCGAGCTCATCGTCCGCGTGGAGCTCAGCCCCATGCAGAAGTAAGAACTGGGGGGAGGGGGCCCCCAACACCTTGGGACCCCCAGGAGGGTGGGGATGGGGTGCCCCCAGATGCTTTGGGTCCTTGGGAGAAGGGTGTACCCCAAGACTGGCTCCGTGGAAGCTGGTGGAGATCCTTGCGTGTAGCTCAGCCCCATGCAGACGTAGGCTCAGTTCCCCTGGGTTTTGGGGTCTCCTGGGTTTTGGGGTCCCCTGGCCAGCTGGGTCCCCAGGGAGGGGTGCTCCTGGATGCCTGGGTCCTTGGGAGAAGGGTGCACCCCGAGACTGGTGTCCATGGGGGTCAATGTTGGAGCTCCTTGCATGGAGCTCAGCCCCATGCAGATGTAGGTTGGGGTCTCCTGGGTTTTGGGGTCCCCCAGACACCTGGGGACGCCCAGGAGGGTGGGTGAGCGGGGTCCCCAGATGCCTGGGTCCTTGGGAGGGTGGGATGGGGTGCCCCCAGATGCCTTGGGTCCTTGGGAGAAGGGTACACCCCGAGACTGGTGTCCATGGGGGTCAATGTTGGAGCTCCTTGTGTGGAGCTCAGCCCCATGCAGACGTAGGTTGGGGTCTTCTGGGTTTTAGGGTCCCCAGATACCTGGGACCCCCAGGAGGGTGGATGAGGGGGGTCCCCAGATGCCTGGGTCCTCTGGGATGGGGTGTCCCAAGACACCTGGGTCCTTGGGAGAAGGGTGCACCCCAAGACTGGTGTCCATGGGGGTCACTGTTGGTGTAGCTTAGCTCCATGATGACGTCCATTGGGGGTCTCCTGGATTTTGGGGTCCCCCAGACAGCTGGGTCCCCTTGGATGGTGGGTGAGGGGGGGTCCCCAGATGCCTGGGTGCTCCAGGAGGGGGTCTGGGTGCCCCTGGACCCCTGGGTGCCACCGAGCTCCCCGTAGGAAGTACTACAAGTACATCTTGACGCGCAACTTCGAGGCCTTGAACTCGCGGGGCGGTGGGAACCAGGTGTCGCTGCTCAACATCATGATGGACCTCAAGAAGTGCTGCAACCACCCCTACCTCTTCCCCGTGGCCGCCATGGTGGGGACACTGGGGACGCTGGTGGGGTGGGGAGGACGTGGGGACACGGAGGGACAGGTGGAGGGATGTGGGGACGTGGAGGAGTTGGAAGAACTTGGGATGGGTGGAGGGAGGTGGGGACGTGGAGGGGTTGGAGGAACTTGGAGGGGACAGAGGGACCTGGGGTGGAGGGATGTGGGACGTGGGGACATGGTGAGACATGGAGAGGTTGGAGGGATGGAGGGGATAGAGGGACATGGGACATGGGGACATGGAGGGGTTGGAGGGATGTGGAGGGGACATGGTGGGACGTGGGGACATGGAGAGGTTAGAGGGAAGGAGGGAGTGGAGGGACATGGTGGGACCTGGGGTCAGGAAGGGGTTGGAGGAACTTGGAGGGGACAGAGGGACATGGGGATGTGGTGGGACATGGGGACATAGAGAGGTTGGAGGAACTTGGAGGGGGCAGAGGGACATGGGGACATTGGTGGGACATGGGGTCGTGAAGGGGTTGGAGAAACTTGGAGAGGACAGAAGGACCTGGGGACATGGTGGGACACACCCAGCCCCCCTGGGTCCTCCCAGTCTGACCAGTGCCCATCCCAGTTACCCTGGGTGCTCCCAGTATAACCAGTAGCATGTTCCCCAGCTCCTCCCAGTCTGACCAGTAGCAGGTCCCTAGCCCCCCAGCTGCTCCCAGTCTGACCAGTATCCATCCTGCCCTCCCCGGATCATCCCAGTATAACCAATCCCAGGTCCCCCAGCTGCTCCCAGTCTGACCAGTACCCATTCCAGTCCCCTGGCTCCTCCCAGTATAACCAGTGCCAGGTCCCCCAGCCCCCCCGGGTGCTCCCAGTCTGACCAGTGCCCATCCCAGCCCCCCGGCTCCTCTCACTATAACCAGCCCTGGGTCCCCCAGTGCCCCCCGTGTCCCCCCCCGGGTGCTCCCAGTCTAACCAGTGCCCGCAGATGACGAAGATGCTGGACCTGCTGGAGGATTTCCTGGACTACGAGGGCTACAAGTTGGGGAGGACGTGGGGACACGGAGGGACAGGTGGAGGGATGTGGGGACGTGGAGGAGTTGGAAGAACTTGGGATGGGTGGAGGGAGGTGGGGACGTGGAGGGGTTGGAGGAACTTGGAGGGGACAGAGGGACCTGGGGTGGAGGGATGTGGGACGTGGGGACATGGTGAGACATGGAGAGGTTGGAGGGATGGAGGGGATAGAGGGACATGGGACATGGGGACATGGAGGGGTTGGAGGGATGTGGAGGGGACATGGTGGGACGTGGGGACATGGAGAGGTTAGAGGGAAGGAGGGAGTGGAGGGACATGGTGGGACCTGGGGTCAGGAAGGGGTTGGAGGAACTTGGAGGGGACAGAGGGACATGGGGATGTGGTGGGACATGGGGACATAGAGAGGTTGGAGGAACTTGGAGGGGGCAGAGGGACATGGGGACATTGGTGGGACATGGGGTCGTGAAGGGGTTGGAGAAACTTGGAGAGGACAGAAGGACCTGGGGACATGGTGGGACATGGAGAGGTCAGAGGGATGGAGGGAGTAGAGGGACATGGTGGGACGTGGGGACGTGGTGGGACATGGGGTCATGGAGGGGTTGGAGGAACTTGGAGGGGAGAGAGGGACCTGGGGACACAGGGACACAAGGTGGAGGGAGACGGGGG